CTTCAAAATGGATGCTGTCCAGGAGGTGGGAGGGTCTGAGAGGGAGGGTCTGCTGCTGATTGGCTGGAATGTGTCTGCTGACTGTGAGGTACATGGTCAAAGTTTACTCAATGATGAGTCCGCGGCGAACCGTTCGCGAACCGTTCGGGACATCACTATTGGTTACTTAATCCACCAATCAGAGTGTTATGAGTCAAATTACACAGTGTAAAATGACACAGAGCACTCTGATGGTGGATTTCAAACCAACCTGTCAGTCTCTTCATTTAACTGTCAGAGCATTCTGATTGGATGGCTTAAACCCACCAATCAGAGTACTCATTATTTTAAGGGTGAGGGGGGCAGGTAGGGGGTTCATTTTGTTTGGGGGAGGGGGTGACTAGGGGTTTGGGGACCCCTAGTCACCTGGGAGGGGGGGTTAACATTTTTTTAGGGCAACCACCCGCCGGGGTGGGGGCCAGGGGGGAGGACAGTAGGTTCCCCCCTTATTGGTATTTAGGGCCCCCACCCGCCGCTCATTGGTGGGGGCCAGAGGGGAGGACATTAGGTCCCCCCTTATTCCAATTTAGGGCCCCATCTGACCCTCAGGGGTGGGGGCCAGGGGGGAGGACTTTAGGTCCCCCCCTTATTAGTATTTAGGGCCCCCACCCGCCGCTCAGGGGTAGGGGCCAGGGGGGAGGACATTAGGTCCCCCCTTATTCCAATTTAGGGCCCCACCCGCCACTCAGGGGTGGGGGCCGGGGGGGATATTAGGTCCCCCCTTATTATTGTTTAGGGCCCCCACCCACCACTCAGGTGTGGGGGCTTGGGGGGAGGATATTAGGTCCCCCCCTTATTTTACTGTAGGGCCCCCACCCACCGCTCAGGGGTGTGGGCCAGGGGGAGGACATTAGGTCCCCCCCTTATTAGTATTTATTGCCCCCACCCACTGCTCAGGGGTGGGTGCCAAGGGGGAAGGACATTAGGTCCCCCCCTTATTATGATTTATGGCCCCCACCCACCGCTCAGGGTCGGAGGCCAGGGGGAGGACATTAGGTCCCTCCCTTTATTCTGATTTAGGGCCACCACCCGCCGTTCAGGAGTGGGGGCCGGGGGGGGCAATAGGTTTTTTTGTTGTTTTTTTTTTAACAGTGAGCAGCCACAGGCTGCTCACTGTTTAATAGACATGCCCCTACTCGTGGTATAGCGAGTAGGGGCATAATTTACTAATACTAAGTAATCTTTACTTAGTATTAGTTAATTTGGCTGAAAGACCAATTTAGGTCTTTCAGCCTTTTAGTAGATAGCTCCCTAATACCGTGGGAATTAGGGAGTTATCTACTTATTCATTCCTGTCATTACATTGACAGGCTAAGTAACTTACATTTTATATGAATGTATGTTACTTGATTGTTATAAGTGTTGCAAATGCCTACAGCTGAATCCTGGCTATGTTTGTATACCCTTTATTTAAAATTGTATACAATGTAACATTCTTCTTCTTTCACTGGGTAAGTATATTAGTACTTAGGCAATATGTGCTTTGGCAACTTCGGCACTTCGGAAATTCGGTAATTTCGGAACTTCGGGACCTCGGCAATTCGGACATTCGGAAGTACCCAAATGTCAGAATTTTCCCGAAATTTGTCAAAATTCATATTTGGACCGAAACGAATTGCACATGTCTAGTGAAAATGCATTGCAGACAGAGTCTATGTCAGTAGCAGTGGCTAGAAAGACTAACACATAGCCTCCATCTTTTGCAGAAGAACAGACAAAGGATTCTCCCCTTGCGGCTTCAACCTCTCGGGTTGATCTAAAACCTCCATTTGTTCATGAGAATTGGGTTTTGTGTTATGACCAAAATGGAGAACGGTGTTCGGTCATGCCAGAACATCTAAAAGTGTTATTTACACAATATAATAATGAAAGTTTAGGTCATATTGAACTCAGAGATATGTTTTATTGGGATAACATGGAAAACACTGTACAACAAGTTGTACAATCATGTTTGATATGTACACAAATAAATCCAAGATCTAAAGGACAAAAACCACCTATACAATGTATGGCACCTGCAAGCGGTCCTTTGTCTACTTTACAAATTGATTTCATTGGGCCATTACCAACAGGTAAGAATGGATTAAAGTATGCATTGGTAGTGGTGGAAGTAGTTCCAGTAACAAAAGATGATTAACAAAGGACAGCTGAAGCGTTATCGACACACATTTTCTCAAGATTGGGATTTTCTAGACTTCTAGTGTCAGACAGAGGTACCCATTTCACAGGGAAAGTCATGCAAGCACAGTGTGCTATTCTAGGCATAGAGCAAAGATTCCATGTTCCATATCATCCAACATCTGCTGGGATTGTGGAATTTATGAATCAAACATTGAAATCTAGACTTTTAAAAATGTTACTTGAGAAAGGCAACACATGGGTACAGGAACTTCCTGCTGTACTTATGGGTATTAGTGGCACCATGTCTTCAGCTATACAATACACTCCATTTGAATTAATGACAGGCAGGAAAATGCAGTTGAATTTGAACCATATTTGTCTACCCCACAGAAAGATGCAATTGCTAAAAATAAATGGTTGCACATGCTGAAGGAAAATTTGTAGCAAATCCTTCCACATGCAGTTACTCGTATGTGTAAACAGACACCTCCTGATTTTTAAAAGTTTTTAAAGGGGGGTATGGTCATAATAAAAACATTTAGGAAAACTAGACCTTGAGAGGCAAACTGGGAAGGTCTTTACAAAATAACAGATACAATGGGACAAACAATGGGACAAGTGCAAAGACCTCTTAATGGTTCACTGAATAAACAGAGGCAAAACATTTTTGGGTTCATGCAGATCAGTGCAAATACATAATTTGATAATATATTGATACTGCTTTGTTTTTCATGGTTTTATTTTAGATAATTTGTAAGTAGACCTACAGAGGAAAGTTGGCCGGTGACAGACGATGTGTTCGCAAAGACAACCGTGTAGCAGAAAGAAGTTGCTCGTCAGAATCCTGCTAACATTGATGACTACAGTTCTTGTAGTAATTATATTTAAAATGAACAAAACAATTTTCAATCAGGAATTAAAGAATGACATATTGGGAAATATTAGAAAAAAGAGAGACAGTGAACATGTATTAAAAGGTCATGTTTGTTTTGGGACAAAAGATAGCTATCTAGAAGTATGCAATGTGCGAATTAATTTCACAGGAGATAGTGTTATTAACTGAAACATTACAATAGGTCCTAATTAGAGTCGGGTTTGTACCGAACATTACGTTTTTGGACCCCGGAAACGTGTATGTTCGGGTTGGAGTTCGGTGTTTGGAGATTTAATGGCGCATTTTGAAAGGCTGCAGGGCAGCCAATCAACAGGCATTTGACTTGTGTGCCCTTAGAAGCCATCACAGCCATGCCTACTAATGGCATGGCTGTGATTCGCCAGTGCAGCATGTGACCCAGCCTCTATATATAAGCTGGAGTCATACAGCGCTGCACGCACATGAGCTCTTATTTGTGTAGGGAGAGGATGCTGCAGCTGTTAGGGACAGATTAGGAAAGAATTCTGGTGTTGAATCTGCAAACTACAGCAATTATTCAAACTACAGCGATTATTTTTGTGGCTGCTATAATACTAAATTTTTGTACCCTGCCCTGAGCCCAGTGCCACAGAGAGTGCAGTGCACTTGCAACTGCATGTGTGCCAGGCACATAACTTTAATCCTGTTCTGGTAGCTCAGTGGGCAACATCTAGGCATTTTTAAATATTGCCATTTTTTTGGTGCTAAATAGTACATTTGCGCAATGCATTTCTTGCAGTCCAATAAAACCCTTAAATACTACTGTTACATTGTTGGTTTAAAAAAATCTAACTTTTTGGTGCTGAATAGTACATTTGCGGCCTGCGGTGCACTTCATATCTGAGAGTCAAATAGAACCATCAAATACCATGCTTACTTTGCAGTTTTAAAAATTCTAATTCTTTAGGTGCTAAAAAGTAAATTTTGTGCCTGCACTTCATATCTGAGAGTCAAATAGAACCGTCAAATATTGTGCTTACATTGCAGTTTTAAAAATTCAAATGCTTTAGGTGCTAAAAAGTCAATTTGGTGCCTGCACTTCATATCTGAGAGTCAAATAGAACCATCAAATATTGTGCTTACATTGCAGTTTTAAAAATTCAAATTCTTTAGGTGCTAAAAAGTCAATTTGTGGCGTACACTTCATATCTGAGAGTCAAATAGAACCGTCAAATACTGTGGTTACATCGCACTTTGAAAAATTCACATTTCTTTGGTGCTAAAAAGTCAATTTGGTGCCTGCACTTCATATCTGGTGTATGTGTGCAACACTGGCTAGTTACGGCTTCTCAAGAAAGTCTAAAGACTTTTTAAAAAAGTGAAAAATAAGTGTTATTGTGATCGCTTCATTTACAGAAGCATTAATATACATTTCTATATTGTGTAAAGACACAACTACAAAGTTAAAAACCAAACACCAAAACAATGTGGAATGAAGGTCATGCGAGTGAAGTGTGCAGTTTGGAGGAAGAGGCACTGGTTGCACAGAGGCACCAGCACAGGATAAGAGGGAGCAGAGTGCAAAAGCAGAGCGGCCGTCCCCTAGCGCTCGTCGGCATGTATTATCTTTAGAATTCCCACAGTAATCCAAGTAACAGATGGAGCGATAAAAGGAACCATAACAGATTTAACGAGCCATTCACAGTTTCGCAGTCCGGTGACCGGGACCCAGGGACTGTCTAGGCAGTGGTCGGACAATTCGGGACCCAGTATGCGTGATTGATCACAAGCGTTTGTGCGACCACATACCAGGACCCTGATGCAGCTTCAGCGAGCAGCAGCAGGCGATAGTGAAGTTTCAGCTGCAGCACACACGGGTCAGTCGCTCTGCACCAGACTTGCCCTCCAATTGATCCAAGTTAAAGGATTTAAAGTGGACTCATTACAATTACAGGGCCTCGAAAGAGTAGTGTATTTTTATTTGTCGTCACTATCTCCCCTCATCGGGAGTGGATAATTTGCGCGCCTGCTGCCTTCCTTGCATGTGATAGCCGTTTCTCAGGCTCGCTCTCTGGAATCGAACCCTGATTCCCCGTTACCCAAAGTCACCATGGTAGGCACGGAAAATTGCATCGAAAGTTGATAGGGCAGACATCTGAATGCGTTGTCGCCGTCATGGGGACGTGTGATTGGCACGAGGTTATCACAGACCAGCACAGCTGCCTGTCCACGGCCAACGTGGACAAGTTCACGTTTATTAAAATGAACCAGGCATGGATCCCACCAGACTTGTCTGTACCTTGTGCAGAATAGACATTTATACCGGCCTCACCCAGCCATTGTTATACTCAAGTGCACTTATTCTTTGGGTTTTTTTTTATATGTCCCAATATTTTGGGAGCTACCCCAATTAAAAAAAAAAAAATAAAAAAAAAAAAAAACAGTGTTGGCTACCTCCTCCTCCTCCACCGCCGCTTCCACCTACACCACCACGGTCACCACCTCCTCAACCTATGGGCCACTTAGAATAAACTATGTACACAATAGCAGAGGCTTGTGAAGGACTTTTCTCCATGCATAAGGAGTTGAGCTCAGTTTGAACAATGAAAGAGAATACCCTGCACTCCAACCCTCTCTCAAATGGATAATTCTGGTGATCCTCCTGACAGCCAGGCTTTAGATTTTGATTTATGTTCTTCCAAAGCTAAAATCAAAGATTCCATCTAGTGCTATTTTATGGCTCAGCTATATTTTTAATTTTTAGGTATTTTATGTTATTTTAAGTGATTTTCCTATCCACATTTGTTTGCAGGGCACTTGTCCTACTCTTACCCCCATGTTACTTCCTTTTGCAGCCCTCAAGCCCTTTCCAGGACTTTTTTAGAGCCATTTTTGTGCCCAAAAGTTCGGGTCCCTATTGACTTCAATGGGGTTGGGGTTCGGGTTTGGGGTCAAGTTCGGGGGCCAAGTTCGAGCCCGAACCCGGACTTTTTTCCGAAGTCCGGCTGAACCGGCCGGACCCGAACATCCAGGCATCTGCTCAACTCTGCGATTTATTTAGTTGGACCAAAGGTTCATTTGTACAAGATAATGTAAAAATGGGATCATGGGAATTTAACATATATTACAAAATGCATATATCATGATTGTAGTTAATGGAGAGGAAATGGTAAATTGGTCAGGTGACATGTATGTGAACATTGCACAAACTTCAGTAACAACATGAGGACCAGGTGGTGAGATCCTTTATACTATTCAATATTGGCTTATACATTTAGAACCAGAATTCCTCTTAAAAAATAATACTCCAGGTATACCTTGGATATGGGAAATACGAGCATCTAGAGAATCGTTGACAGTAAGAGTTAACATGAAGTTTCTGGTAACTGATTATGTTATGTCAGATATTATGGTGAAGCCTAGTCTTGTAGATATCCAGGAAGGAAAGGAAAGACTTAGATTAACATGTAGTACACATATAATTTTACTTCTGAGTCTGTAGTGACTGTAGGAAAAGGGAAGGAAACTTTTTGTGTAGTATGTCACATACAACGCCAAAGGCTTTGTTTTCTATCTAGACAATAGTGGAAACTATCAATGCTGTATAATGTTAAGAAATCATCACGAGAGATGTGGTGATGTTCCCAGAATGGTAGAATTAAAAAATAAGGTTTTTAAGTTATCAAGTCCCTTTCAATTGAATCCTTTTCAATCAAAGCCTTTGTTATAAAATGGGAAATTTGCAACAATAGTTTGGCATTTTAATGTTTCTCAGTCGAAAATCTCAACTAAATTTCCACAATGTAAGAAACATTTATTAAATATGGAACGAGGCTTAGAACATTGGTTTGGAGGAAATAAAGTATCAAACAGGAAAAAAAGAGGTATAATAGAAGGAATTATGGCTGGTTGTGGTACTATAGGAAGTATCACTAATTCTATGGATATTTAAACATTAAAGAATTATTTGGGAACTGTAGGGTTAATAGGGTTAATAGGAGAAAAGGATTGCACATTCAATGAGGTTTAAATCAAATAGTGAAAAATATGGTAATGAACATTGCCTCTGTTATTGCACCCTCTGTTCAACAGCTTGTTTCGAGACACAAGTTGAATATTCTACAGATTTTAAAGTGATGGCACAAGCATTACAAGGTGGTGTTACTCCTATAGAACTCAAACGTAGTTTACCTTAGGAGTTTGCGTTTGCTAAAAATCATACAGATTTATAGGTTAACAAATGGTTGGGATGTAACAATGATATATCTGGTATTGAAAAAGTACTATTTTAAATGTCGGTGTTAGGGATTCCTATTAGTAACAAATAGTGAGCAGACCCTACCTCCCAGACCCTCCCACCTCCTGGACAGCATCCATTGTGAAGCTGCATTCTTAGTGAGCTGTCCAGGAGGTGGGAGGGTTTTGGAGGGAGGGTCTGCTGCTGATTGGCTGGAATGTGTCTGCTGACTGTGAGGTACAGGGTCAAAGTTTACTCAATGATGAGTCCGCGGCGAACCATTCATGGAGAACCGCTCGGCGAACAGTTCGGGACATCACTAGTAACAAATAATTATTATTTTATAAATTACAATATCCTGATTTTGTTTCTTATAATAACATAACTGAACTTGAGCATTTAGATCTTTCTAGTTGTCTACATTTTGCATCCAAAATAATATGTTTAACCCCTTAAGGACTGGACTGTTTTTGCGATGTTGTACATTTGCGACCAGGCCTGTTTTTACACTTTTCTGGTGTTTGTGTTTAGCTGTAATTTTCCGCTCTCTCATTTACTGTTCCCATACAAATTATATATCGTTTTTTTCAGGACAAAAGGGGCTTTCTTTACATACCATTATTTATATAATCTCATGTAATTAAAAAAAAATTTTTAATGAAAAAATATGATGAAAAATTGAAAAAAATAAAAGTTTTTTACTTTTACTTGAAAAATCTTTTACTCATCTACAAAAGCGAATGAAAAAAACTGCTAAATAGATTCAAAATGTTGTCCTGAGTTTAAAAATACCCAGTGTTTATGTGCTTTTTTGCTTTTTTTTGCGAGTTATAGGGCTATAGGTACAAGTAGGATATGGCAGTTTCAAAACAAACATTTTTAAAATGTATCAATAGTGACATTCTAACACTATTATCTGTCATAAATCTCTGGAAAACACTCCACATGTATATATATATTTTAAAGTAGACAACCCAGGGTATTCATCTAAGGATATTTTGACACTTTCTATGCAGCCATTTTACCACTAGTTTTTGCCAAACTTTGCATAGGTAGTTTTTTTTTGTTTGTTTTTTCACATACATTGCAATTCAGGTATAAACTTACAGATCCTGTTATGTCTTGCTGCCAAAAAACACACTAATATGTGTTCAGCAACATCTCCCGAGTACAGTGATACCACCCATGCATAGGCTTGTCGGATTGTTTGGGGGCTAAAAGGCCACATTTGACAGGTGCACATATCCATTTTTCAACTTGGAATTTTGACATGTAGTAAACCAGCGCCCCTGTCCTATTTGGGCCAATGTATTTTACCTCCATCAAACCATATATTTTTGAAAAGTTGACAACTCAGGGTATTTTAAATGGTGGTAGTTTAATACTTTTCATGCAATAATTTTACCACCAGCCTTTGGCAAACTTTTGGGTAGTAATTTTCTTCGTGTTTTTTTACACATACATTGTACTTTAGGCATGAATTAACAGATCCTGTTATGTATCACTGCCAAACAACACCCTAATATGTGTTCAGCAACATCTCCTGAGTACAGTGATATCACCCATGCATAGGTTTGCTGGGTTGTTTGGGGGCTAAAAGGCCACAATCGAGACTTGTACATATCAGTTTTTCAACCTGATATATAGGTATGCTTGGCCTATCTTCAGTTTGGCATATATTTGTATCCCCCCGTTAATGTTAACATCATGAAAGTTTATATTTTTATAAAGTAGACATTCCAGGGTATTGTATATGAGGTGTTTTCACATCCTTCCCCCAACCATTGTGCTAAACTAATTTCAGAGAACGTGCATGGTGGTAATTTTTGAATTCTGCTTTTTATGCACACGTCATCTGGTTTTGGCCAGCCAGTTATATGTTACTACCATAAAACTTTTTTAACCAAATGTGCAGGTATCAAATGCACCTTTAGCAGCATTCGCTAAACTAACTCCTGCAAAAAGAATCTAATTGGAGATTTGGGGGGAAGGAAACTGACTAACTAAAATTTGCTGCTATCAAAAGAAAAAAAAACAGTGCAAAGAGGTGTCTGTCCTTTTCCCTTTTTTTATAACAGACCCAGCAACATTTCAGGGGATTTGTTTTTTTTGCAGTTGGCGGTATCTTAAAAATAAAATGTCTGGACTCCTCTGGCACCATTGTTGGAACTTGACCATCTCCATAAATTATTGTGGAAATCAGCTTGAACTAAAATTGGAGAAAGGTGGTTCTTTCTGGATTCATTTTTTTAAAGAGTAAAAATGAATTATGTTTTTTCTTACTTGCATCAGGTAGATAGCCACCTTTTTATACCAGGCTTTTGTCTTTCTTAAGATAAGATATGGCTGCATCAGCTGATCAGCCAAATCAACACCCCCATGTGCATTTTATAAGCCCTGATGCAAACAGGTTTGGTCTGTACTCTGCCTCGGACAGTGACGTCTGACATGCTTTCGTCATGGATGGTGGTTAGTATATTAACATCCTTCCTGTCCTTAAATTTTATTGCAAGCACTTTAGCTTTGTGCAGACCTTTACATTCACTTTTTTTTTTATTTGGCCTCTATAAAAGGTCTGGGGAAATCCTTGGCATATCTTCTCACACTGCCACAGGCCAGTATCTAGAAACCCTAAAGAGTTTGAAACAAACGGACAATGCTATAAAAATTGTCCACATAAAGGTGGTAACCCTTATTGAACAAGGGGATCAGTAAGTCAAAAACAAGTTTCCCGCTTGTCCCCAGAGAGTCAATACAGCCAGGAGGGTCCAGTTGACCATCTTTCCCCTCATATATACGAAAGGCAAATGTATAGCCACTTTCGCTCTCGCACAGTTTGTAGAATTTTACACTATACCTAAAGCGCTTTGAGAGGATGTATTGTTTGAATCCTAATCTCCCTTTATATTTCATTAACGATTCATCAATAGATAAAATTTTTTGAGGAGTATAAACTTCAGTAAATTTGTGCTGAAGATGGTCTACCAGT